AAGTTTAGTAGTATACTTTATAACTTAATGTAACTGATTATATGTCATTGTGTATTCTGCATAACTCAGTCTTGTTGACTGCAAGCATTAATCAAATCTAAATCAAATCTGATCTCAGGAATTAATGTCCTTTCTTTTTATTTCTTTGTCAGGTGAATGACGTTCCCTGGAGCCAATTTGACCCTGACGGCCAGGAGGAGGATGAGGATATACCGTTGGACCTCAGTGTCAACATGTGACATGTACCTGGAGACAGTTCACCTGTGTTCACCTACACTCACTGTGTTCAAGTTAGTGCCAAAGAACAACTTGGCATTTCCTGTTACTTTTAGAAGAATGTACCTGAGAAATTGTATTTAATGTTTTGTGGAACATACCTCTCGTAAACTGTATTTCTTGATGTACTACTACTGGATATAACATGCTTTTGAAATTCTGTAAATGTTTATGAACTTTTGACAACTCGATATTTTATTAAAAGCACAAGTTCTTCTTTCCTTATCGTGTTTGTGTCTCCTAGAGAGAGAAATCGAGAGCAGCCAGTCAGTGTTTGTGTTTTGTGGTAAAATGTGTCAAATTGTCCAATTAGATGGTTGAGCAATGAGGCAGTAAAGGAGTCACAATCCGCCAGCAGGCACTGAGCGTTGGCTCGCCTGTGCGTGTGTGTGCTCCCCCCAGGGGAGCCTCTTTACCACTGGCACGGTGTGTGTGTTAGCTTCCTCAAACCGCTGCCAGTCTCACCAGTGCTATTTGTCATGCCATGAGATCATCATATCACAACGTCTCAAAGGGTGTTTTCTTCTCTTGTTTAGATTTTTTTTCCTTTCATTGTTTTCGTTTTCTAATCTAAACATCTGCAGTCATGGATACCGAACTCCTCTGTATCCTAGTCTGCCTCTGCATCATTAGAAGTGTATGAGTGCATTGCAGACACTATTTTACTGTAAGTCACTGTGGTGGGTCACAGTCATTTTATGATAATGTATGTTATTGTAGGATGAAAGTGTAAAAAAGTAAAATATTTTCAGTTGTAATGTTATTTCTTGAATTACAACAAAGTGCAGTCAGTGCCACGTCCAGTAGTATTACGTTTTCCCTCCTGATTAGCAGGTTTTAGTGATTGACAGCCAAACACATAAAAGTATAGATCGTTTCAATTTGTTGTCGTGAAATGTACGAACAGTAATGTATATTAGTCAGCATTAGACTCGTCTCCTAGCTTATCCACCCTCCGGTATGATGAGTAGTAGTCCTGGAATCTGAATGAGGAGACATAACCAGGCAGCCATTTTGGCAGCCCAATATGAGAGGTACAATATGTGTTGAAAGTTGGAGTTGCAATATGTTGTCTCTGTTAAATTTACAGTCTAATCTATATTAGTCAGCATCAACTTCGAACTTATCCACACTCTGGTATGATGAATAATCCCAAATGAAGAGAGAGATAAGTAGGCAACCATGGATGGTTTGGGAGGAGACATACAGTCAGGTCCATAATTATTGGTACCCTTGATAAAGATTAGCAAAAATACTGAGCTATGTTGTGTGCTCCAAAAAAATTGGGACATGATGTAATTTTATACTAATACAATTGCTCAGAGAAACAGATTTTGTTTAACAAGTAACCACATTTTTTTTGTTAAAGATGGGGGTCAAAATGATTGGCACTCCTGTTTTCAATACTCTAGGATAACAACACTGAGCCTTTTTCTAAAATGTTTTATGAGATTGGATAACATGTTGGGAGGGATCTTTGACCATTCCTCCACACAGAATCTTTCCAGATCGTTGATATCCTTCTTCTGCTCTTATGGACTGCCCTCTTCAATTCAAACCACAAGTTGTCAATGGGGTTCAAGTCCAGAGACTGAGATGGACATTGCAAAATGTTGATTTTGTGGTCAATTAACAAGGGCCCCAGGACCAGTGGAAGCAAAATAGCCCCATAACATGAAAGATCCACCACCATATTTTACTGTAGGTATAAGGTAATTTTCTGCATATGCTTCTGTTTTTCCACGCCAAACCCACCACTGTCTTCTGACCATCAAACTCCAAATGGTCAGATGACATGAAAATAGAGTTTTTTGACCTGAAAAACGGAAACAAAGTACGGGAGCAAAGTAGCTCATATCTATGGGTATACCTCAAACCTGTGTTATATCATTTCCCAATTTTTTTAGCATACAATATACTGTAGCTCAGTATTTGTATTATTTACTGTATTTTATATACAGTCTTTTTTGCTCATCTTTATCAAGGGTGCCAATAATTATGGGCGTGACTGTATTGGCCAACACCTTTTGATTTGAGGATTAGAAGAGAAGTGGTTTATGGTCGGTTGCCTAAAGCCTCATGTCTGTGGTGTTTTCCAGGGTTAGCTTGTTGGTTTCACAGGTGTGGGCTGAAGTTGTGAGTCACTTCACAGCTCACACCTCCCTTCATAACACTAGTTCTGCTAAATACCGACTAATAACACACATTCGGTGGAAGTGGCAGACTGAGGGGATTTTGAAGACAATTATTGGGCCAAGGATGATGAGTAGTACTTGACCTCAGAAGAAGATGAATAAATCACCTATAAGAGACTGAGGTTTACAAAACCAGATGCTATTTCCTGACCTTGTGAAAGGTTTTAACCTCAATCATAACCCAAACTCTCATATATTTGCATGTGAATTATTGAGTCAAATGAGCTGCGCTAGGGTTAATCCATAACTTTGACTTAAAAAGGAATTAAAATGTTACTCCTGCAATAGCGTAAGACTATTTCCTTAAATGTAATAGTTAATTGTTAATAAAAATGTAATGGTAACTGATGATGAGAAAAAGCAATATGAAAAACTGACATTTAATACCATAACTTTTCTTTAGTGATTAGCAATGTTCTGCCAAATGTTGACATTCTGCCCTAATTCAGACTGTCAGACCCGTCCAACATGTCATATTCTAGGGTGTAGTTCTCATACAGATATACCACAGCATTTATAGCCCCTTCATGAACTTCCACAGTAATAATCCCATGTGAATCAGACACAATATTTCTGTTTTAGCCAGCGGTTGATAAAAATCAGACCTATGATAATGTACTGTAGGTCTATGTGGTGAATCATAACACTTAACACCTTGACACCTGTTGATTAGCAGTGATGTTTTGAATAGATCTGTTTCAATCTCAAGTAAGTGAATCATATGCCATAAAATATGATTCACCTCCATGTTTCTATTTCAGGTTTACATAATGAGTGGTGCAGGGTGTGTCCTTCTGTTTAACAGTCTGGCTCCTTTAGACATAAATCCTCTGATTCTCACTGAGCTTAACTGGCCCTCAGTCAAACCTCACCATTTAGACATGATCAGACTACACCTGGCTGTAACCTTACATGAACCATACAGCAATAGGCTACATGCATGTACATTGCCTTCAGAAAGGATTCACACCCCTTGACTTTTTCTACATTTTGTTGTGTTACAGACTGAATTAAAAATGTGATTACATTTAGATTTTTTGTCACTGGCCTACACACAATACCCCATAATATTCAAAGTGGAAATATGTTTTTCAAGATTTTTACAAATTAATAAAGAATTAAAAGCTGAAATGTCTTTAGTCAATAAGTATTCAACCCCTTTGTTATGGCAAGCCTAAATGAGTTCAGGACTAAAAATTTGCTTAACATAATACATTGCATGGACTCCTTATTTCATTTTCAATAGATTTACAAAAAATTCTAAAAACATCTTTTCACTTTGTCATTATGGGGTATTGTGTGTAGATGGGTGAGGGGGGGATTATTGTATTTAATCCATTTTGAATTCAGGCTGTAACACAAAATGTGGAATAAGTTTTAGGGTATGAACACTTTTTGAAGGCACTGTATGCGCTAGGAAATGGAAACTGAAACTGAAAGTGGAAAAGGACACAGTAGGGAAAACTCTTTACCTCACTGCTTGTGAATTCAATCTGTTCTGTCTATTCGACGAATATTGTTTTGATTACGTTATTGTGGAATGCAATTTCATGGAGGGGGTTGAAACGGAATTCGTAAGAGCTCAAAGTACTGTGTTCAAAACAGAGCCCTGCTGAAACCCGTTTACTTATCCTCATTGAAGACAGGCTTTTGAATATAGCCTAACTATAGTTAGAGAAGTTACATCTGACTTGTTTTTAGGGCTTTCCTTTATAGATTAGTATGCTATAGGCCAAATTCCACTGCCATCCGTGCATGTCCTGAGCATGTTTAACCCAAATCTGAACGTTTACACACCGACAGACAGTGCATCAAGATGCTACAGAATGAGCACACAGAGTAGTAATATTTAAAAGTATAAAAATGTGTATTGACTTGACAGCAACAATATGCATGATTTTCAAATAAATAAATATGTAAATAAATATGTAACCTTGAAATATACATAAATAAATCCATTATATTGCAGTTTGACATCGCACATTACAAAATTGTAGAATGGTAGGCAATCAAAATCAAGTGCAGTATGTAAATCAATTCTGCACGTTCAAATTCATGTTCTGTTGGACCACAGAAGGCTATCAGAGTTGTGTTTCAGAATGAACTGTAGGGTTTACAGGAGCTCTTTTCGAACCACTTCCCAGGCGCAGTTACTGAAATTCTGTGAAAATAAAAATAAACTGTTAGGGAAATGTAGGCTGATATTGACATAGAGAAATTATCAAAGTAGTGTTTTCCATTATAGTATTTTTGCTTTTATCCTACTTTTTCTTTTAGGACTTCTGTGATGTTCCCGAAGTATGTCTTCAGCACCTTTGCCCATACTAGATAATCCCCTGTATCCACACTCACCATCATCTGACACAAGAAGAAAAGAGGCAGGCGAACAAAAATAATTCAAATGTCACCATACCACACTTAAACACTTAAGTTATCTGTATTGGCATAGGTAGGTACTCACACATTTGCTCTCTTCAATCTGACGGTAGATAATGTTCTGAAATTAAAATACTCCAACTTCTGTTGGTCCTACATTGTTGGTAGGTCGTCAGCTCCAAACAATGAGTCGATGTTCTTCAATGTCTCATAAATAGACTTAGAACCGCTGCTGCTCAACTGAAACGGACAACAACAATAATTTCAAATAACATATGACAGTGTAAGATTGTCTTATTTGTTGTAAGGGTTGTAAATATACTTTCATGCTCTAATGAACACTTGGATATGAGCCCATGTGGTTACCCGTGGCGCAGGAGTTTGCGAAAGCAGTGGCTGGGAATGCCATGAAGACATTATCCTGCAGGCACTCCAGAGGAAAAGTACCTCCCTGAAAGAAAGAGAAAACACAGAAGTCAGGCTGAGTCATTTAATAAACTTTGTTAGATAATACAATAAAAGCCCAAAGTAATTTTAAAAAATTACCATGTCTCTCAGTAGGTTGTGGGTTGTTCGCAACAGCTGTTATTGCAGCTGGCAAGGCATGGCCATGGAGCAAACTTGCGCGAGGCAGAGGAAGGCGCTCATCCAAGTTATAGTCTGAAGTGCAATTCTTAGATGACCTGCAACAGAGTATCATTGTTATTTGAATTTAATCCTGAAAATAATTCATTCGTTGAAACCTGAAGCAATGAACAAATGATATATTGACTCACCCGTTGCCAGTATAGTGCACATTTCCTACAGAGTCCGAATATTGTTTGTGTTCTGATCCCATATCTGCGGCTTAACTTAAATTGTGAGAATTTAAAGGATGTATAAAAGTGAAAGGGGGTCTCACTAGGTTCGAGTAAAAAATGAATGAATTTGGGAAAGTTTGGCCTAGTGAAAACCGCAATAGGCCTGCCAGATTTCCCTTTTTTGACATTCTTGTCATTTAGCAGACGCGCTTATCCAGAGCGACTTACATTAGTGAGTGCATACATTTATTTATTTTCTTTGCTTGTCCCCCGTGGGTATCGACCCCACGACCCTGGCATTGCAGGCACCATGCTCTACCAGCTGAGCCACAAATAACTTAATATGATGTCATTACATTACAGTTGAATTAAACTGTTGATAATAACTGAATATTAAATAGAAATCAAATAGAAATTCGCCAGCATTTTACGACGTCTGTATCTGAATAATCAGTCTAACATTAACATGCAAGTATTTCATCATTAGGAGAGACTAGCAGGCCAATATGAATAAAACAATGTGCCAATGTGTTGTGATAACATTATCGTATGTTTATTAGAAAATGACCTAAATCCTAATTCCTTAAATTATAAAACGTTATCATCCTGGACATGCTACGTTCAAGGCGAATTTTCTGCGATTGTTACATCCATTTATGGACTTTTAAATTAATTATATACAGGCTACCCATTGATTCTTGGAGAATTTATCCATTTTAATTGCCTCATGAGCTTAGTTCAACTGTTTTACCTCAACAGAACCCCCAAAATACATTTTGTATGACATTGTTTGAAACAATATGAATCTAAACACTGTATAGCTTCAAAATGTAGTTAAAACTATAATTTTGATCTCTTGGATGGTCATTAATTGAATCAATAGCTTTCTGATCGTGGTTACTATTCTCGAACCCCATCCCTCAGCTATTTACAAAAATAGTGGTTGAGTGACCACTATGGTGTTGTTTGAACTTCAGATTGCCCCTTTAAAAAAGTAAGTCTATAAACAAATGAATGCATGAAAGACTGAATGGATGAATGCATGGATGACTGAATATATAAATTAATGAATAAATACAATATGATAATAGATGCATGTATTTTTCATTTAATTGTATTATAAATAAATAAATACATAAATACATAGCCTTCACATATAAATATCAGTCAATCAGTCAGTCAGTAAATATATCAGCCATCAATCTATTAGCCAGCGTCAGAAATATGTCACATGTCTCCAATGATGATTCTGTGGTTGTCCAACAGACCGCTTATTCATCATGGCTTGACTCTGCAGTCGACTTCCTCACGGCTTAACTCTGCTGTCGAGGAATTTATTGAACTGCACGAGGTTGTCCGGAACCTCCTCTCTCACCATCTCCCATGCGCATGTGCTGTTTTCCTGGAGAGCATACAATAAATACAAACATTTCAGTCAACTCAACCACAGCAAGTGCTGCGCCGACGCATCCAACGACACTACAACGGCGCTTGGATGTTCCCAGTTTCATATGTGAGTTGTGGCAGAGAAATGCATCCAATTTGTGGTGATCTAGAACTTTTGCTCAGATTAATTTAGTCTTTTCGAGTGCATTTGATATTGGCCCGACCTTCTGTTTCAAGACGGTGTTCAGCTTGTCGAAATATGTTTTCAGAGACGCGTTGGCTTCAGTAACCGACCCTCCATCTCCAGAGGATGCCCCAACACCACCTCCGACCTAGAGACTATATAAGATGGTGGTGAGTGCATTAGTTCTGTCTTATGAAAGATTAATAAAATATTTGAATAAATAACTGTAGTGTCTAAATTAAATACCAATGCCCACGATTGTCTGCCCCAAAAATATATAACCTCTAGGCTACACAAGAGGGATCGAGATAATATGTTTTTAAACAGGTTCAGTTGTTTATTGTTCTCAGTGACAGCAGTCACGCTGTTGTTGAATAATTGGGCCACATATCCCATAGCCTCTAATGCAAAAACAGAGACGTCCTCGCCCTGGATAAAATAAAACAGGGGTTTAGGCATTATCCACACTGGTTGACTCGACGTTGTTTCCAGGTACTTTCAATTAAATTACTTTGAACCAAAGTGGAATAGACGTAGTTTAGGCTATCAGCATCTTGCTATATGATACATTTACATTTTAGTCATTTACATTATTTAGCAGACGCTCTTATCCAGAGCGACTTACAGTTAGTGCATACATTATTTTTTTATCGAACCCACAACCCTGGCGTTGCAAACGCCATGCTCTACCAACTGAGCTACATCCCCTGTTAGCAGACGCTCTTATCCAGAGCGACTTACAGTTAGTGAATACATATATATATATTTTTTATACTGGCCCCCCGTGGGAATCGAACCCACAACCCTGGCGTTGCAAACGCCATGCTCTATCAACTGAACTACATCCCTGCCGGCCATTCCCTCCCCTACCCTGGACGACGCTGGGCCAATTGTGCGCCGCCCATGAGTCTCCCGGTCGCGGCCGGCTGCGACAGAGCCTGGATTCGAACCAGGATCTCTAGTGGCACAGTTACCACTGCGATGTAGTGCCTTAGACCACTGCGCCACTCAGGAGTACTGAAGTGTATGCTACCTGTGTGTTCTTGTAAACGTCCTCTGGAAACATGCGTTGACATTTTCTTCTAGACACAGAACTGGAAAGTGTCCACCCTGAAATAGAAGTCAAATTAATATCAAGTGGTACAGATATTGAAATCGTATGTTACATGAAATGAGCTATAATACAAAGTAAAATGTGAATATCATTGCGAATATTGCGCATCAATTTGGGCACACCAAATAGTGGACTGGTGCAATTAAAATAAATCACCATATCTAATATCAGATCTATGCTCAGATCATTCAGTCTGCCCAACCGGGTCCACCTGCATCGATCGGATGCAGCAGTGTCTAGGCAGAACAGAGTCAGACAGATGCGCAACATTTCAATACAGCCATGTTTCTTTTGCTAATACTTGAGTCCAACAGACATTAGAAATGATTAACAACCTATCATCTTGATTCGATATGATACCTACATTGCTGAAGTATACACCCAAGCATCGCTACATGAAGGTATACAAAAATAATTCGTGGTGAAGAAGGTAGCATGGTTCAGGCTTTCGCTTCCCTTTATAAGCCTCAATTTTCAGTGGGTGATTCTCAATTATGCTATTGTGAAATTAATCAGAAAAATATAATGCAAGTGAACCATTTTCATACATGTCTATGCAAATAATTGCATTGGACAAATGCATGTATTGATAACATTAAGCAGTTATTCAGCAGGCAATATTGAATATAAAAAACGAATAACTCTATAATACAATGTTGCAGGGCTCTGTCTTATTAAATCAGGGCCATGATCAATATAAATATGCTGAAATTGTGGACATTGCACGCCACACTTTTCAGATTCTGTGTAGGGTTAGCAAGAACCATTGTTTTAATAGGCGTTTCATAGAGACCACATTTTGCTCAAACATTTAGTCCGTTGACTCTCTTTTAATCAGACAGTGCAATCTGAAGCATATGGCTGTTCAGTGTTTATATTGCACATCCTTGAAATAAAAATATATGTTATTAATAGAGAGACTGATAGTGTTGAATGAAGGCTAAAGTTCGACCATTTTACCTCACTGCTTGTGAATTCACTGTGCACCTGTTCAGTCTATTCATTTACATTGACATTTACATGATTTAGCAGACGCTCTTATCCAGAGCGACTTACAAATTGGTGCATTCAACTTATGATAGCCAGTGGGAAAACTAATTTTTTCTTCTTCTTTTTATGGGTGGGAGTAGAAGGATTACTTTATACTATTCCAGGTATTCCTTAAAGAGGTAGGGTTTCAAGTGTCTCCGGAAGGTGGTCAGTGACTCCGCTGTCCTGGCGTCGTGGGGGAGCTTGTTCCACCATTGGGGTGCCAGAGCAGCGAATAGCTTTGACTGGGCTGAGCGGGAACTTTGCTTCCGTAGAGGTAGGGGAGCTAGCAGGCCAGAGGTGGATGAACGTAGTTCCCTCGTTTGGGTGTAGGGTCTGATCAGAGCCTGAATTAGGAATTCGAATAATTTAATAGGATCTCTATGGTAGGAACGGAATTCGTACAGGAGCTCAAAGTGCAACGTTCAAAACAGGCCTGCCCTGTCCAGTACTAAAACACACTTCATTGAAAAAATGCTTTTGAATATAACTACATTTTGAGAAGATACATTTTACTTGTTTTTATGGCTTTCCTTTATGGATTAGTAGGCTATACAATTAATTGTACTGCCATCCGTGCATATGTCCCGAGCATGTTTAATCCAAATCTGAATGTTCACACACCGACAGACTTGGCTACAGAATGAGCACTCACATTAACAATATTTAAAAGTTTACAAATGTTTATTAACTTAACATTTGATGAAGATTAACATATAGGCACGATTTTCAAAGAGATAAATAAATACATTCATAAATAGGCCTACATAAATAAATATCCTTGATAAATAAATAAATACATGTACAATATTGCAGTTTGACATTGCACATTACATGATTGTAGAATAGTAGGCTTTTAAAATCAAGCACAATTGTAAAACCCAATTGTAAAAAAGTTCTGCAAGTTCAAATTCATGTTCTGTTGGACCACAGAAGGCTATCAGAGTTGTGTTTCAGAATGAACTGTAGGGTGTACAGGAGTTCTTTTCGAACCACTTCCCAGGCGCAGTAACTGAAATTCTGTGAAAATAAAAATAAACTGTTAGGGCAATGTAGGGTAATATTGTCCAATGTAGAGATATTATCAAAACAATGTGTCTTTTTGTTTTTAACCTATAGCCTACCTTTTCTTTTAGGACTGCTGCAATCTTCCCAAAGTATGTCTTCAGTCCCTCTGCCCTGATGGGATAATCACTTGTATCCACACTGCCCATCATCTGCCAGAAAGAAAGAGGTAGGCGATGAATAATAATTCAAATGCCACCATACCACAATTAAACAGTTAAGCTATCTGTGTTGGCATAGCAACTCACACATTTGCTCTCTTCAATCTGGCGGTATATAATATTCTGAAAATTCTCCAACTTCTGTTGGTCCCACTTAGTTGGCAGGTCGTCAGCTCCAAACAATGAGTCGATGTTCTTCAATGTATCATAAATAGCCTTAGCACCACTGCTGCTCAACTGAAACGGACAACAACAATAATTTCAAATAACATAAATGGCAGTTTAAAGTTTTCTACTTTCTAATCCTAACGGTTGCAAAAACTCTTTCATTCTGTAAAGAACACTTGTATATGTTGCTTGCCCTTACCTGTGGCGCGCCGGAGGTTGCAAATGCGGCGGCTGGGAATGCCAGGAAGACATTCTGCTGCAGGCACTCCAGAGGAAAATGACCCCCCTGAAAGAAAGAGAAAACACAGTATTCACGTTGAGCTATTCAGTTAAACATAGTTGGATAATACATCTCAAGTCAAAAGTAATTTAAAAAATGTACCATGTCTCTCAGTAGGTTGTGGGTTGTTCGCACCAGCTGTCCCTGTAGGTGGCAAGGCATGGGCATGGAGCAAACTTGTGCGAGGCAGAGGAAGGCGCTCATCCAAGTGATAGCCTGAAGTGCCATTCTTAGGGTAGTTAGATGACCTGTAGCAGATAATCATTGTTAGTTGAATATAATCCTGAAAATGATTCATTCATTGAAGCCTGAAGCAATGATCAAATGATAGCATGTTGTTGACTCACCTGTTGCCAGTATATTGCAAATTTCCTCCAGTCAGAATGTGGTTTGTGTTCTGATCCCATATCTGCGGATTAACTTAAATAGTGAGGATTGAAAGGATGTACAAAAAGTGAAAGGGAGTCTCACTAAATTCAGAGTTAAAATGAATGAATTTGGGAAAGTTTTGCCTGGTGAACCGCAAGACCGGATTTCCCTTTTCGTGTGCTCTACTTCCCACTCGTCATGTTTTGAGTGATCGTTCATGGGAGGCACGTTGTCCTCAGTAGGTTTAAAAAATGTAACTCATAGCTGGACCTTGTGAAGACTGAAACGTTGCTAAGAAAGACAGGGAGAAGGAGAGGGAGAGAGAGAGAATATCGACCCTTTAACACCAATATTAAACTAATGGCACTTACTGAAATGTTTGTTTTTTAATCACAAAACTGCTATTTGCTTGTTTGTCTCTCTCTCTCTCTCTCTCTCTCTCTGTGTGTGTGTGTGTGTGTGCGTGCGTTTGTTTGTTTGCGTGCGTGCGTGCGTTTGTTTGTTTGCGTGCGTGCGTGCGTGTGTATGTGTCTGTGAGAGAGAGGGAGTGAGAGATGAGGATTTAATGTGATCTCTTTCTGTTTGAATCTTCTGTCTTTAATCCCATTCATGTCTATACATTTGAATTAAACTGTTGATAATAACAATGATTAAATAGAAATTAACCGGCATTTTATGAAGTCTGTATCTGAATAATCAGGATAACATTAACATTTGACTAGTGATTCCTTACGAGAGACTAGCAGGCACATTTCTATAAATAAACCAATGTGCCAATATGTTGTGATAACATTATCGTAGGTTTATTAGAAAATGACCTAAATCCTAATTCCTAATAGCACTACATTTCATCGTCTTGGATATGCTTAGTTAAAGTGGCAATATCTGCGATTGCTACATCAAATTTTGGACTTTTAAATTAATGATACACAGGCTATCTATTGACTCTTGTCACGGATTAGCTACTGCCGATCGATGTTATCGGTATCTGTCTAGTCTTGTCTGTATTTTTAACACCTGTTCATCATTATGTTTGATTGTTGCCCTATAATTACCCCTGTCTCTCATCGTTATCTTGTGTGTGATTGTTTCCCTTCACGTATGTCGTTTTGTGAGCGGGTATTTTCCTCCCTGTGTGGAGTTATTCTGTGTTCATCTTTTCAATATCGGATTAAAATACGTTTCCAAGAGTTCCGTGTCCTGCGCCTGACTTCTTCAACCGCATCTCACTGACAGCCGTGACAACTCTTGAAGAATATATAACTTTTAAAAGCCTTATGAGCTTAGTTCAACTGTTTTACCTCAACAGAACCCCAAATACACTTTGTTTGAAACAATATAAATCTAAACAAACACTGTATAGCTTCAAAATTTAGTTAAAACTATCATTTTGATCTCTTGGATGGTCATTACTTGAATCAATAGCTCTCTGACAGTGGTTACTTTTCTTGAACCCCATCCGTCAGCTATTTACCAAAATAGTGGTTGACTGTCCACTATGGTGTTGTTTGAACTTCAGATTGCCCCTTTAAAAAAGTAAGTCTATAAACAAATGAATGCATGAAAGACTGAATAGATGAATGCATGGATGACTGAATATATAAATGAATGAATAGAAACAATATGATAATAGATGCATGTATTTTTCATTTAATTGTATTATAAATATATCAATCAGTCAGTCAGTAAATATATCAGCCATCAATCTATTAGCCAGTCTCAGGAACATGTCACATGTCTCCAATGATGATTCTGTGGTTGTCCAACAGACCGCTTCTTCCTCACGGCTTGACTCTGCAGTCGAGGGATTTTTAAAACTGCACAATTTTGTAGCGAACCTCCACTCCCACGATCTTCCAAGCGCCTGCGCTGTGTTCCTGGAGCTTATACAAGCCATGCATTTTTTCACTCAACTCAACCACAGCAGGTGCTGCACCAGCGCATCCGACGAAACTAAAACCGAGCTTGGAAGTTCCAAGTTTCATATGTGAGTTGTGGCATCGAAATTCATCCGATTTGTGGTGATCTAGAACTTTTCCTCAGATTAATTTAGCCTCTTTTCCAGTGTATTTGATATTGGACCCACCTTATGTTTCAAGACGGTGTTCAGCTTGTTGAAATATGTTTTCATAGACGCGTTGCCTGAAGTAACCAACTCTCCATCTCCAAAGGATGCCCCAACACCACATCTGACCTGGAGACAAAATAAAATGGTGGTGAGTTAATTAATTCTGTCTTAAGACAGGTTCTGAAAATAAATCGTTTATATTAAATCACAAATTAAAGACCAATGCCAATTATTGTCTGCCCCCCAAATATAGCTTAGGCTACACCATGAGGGATCATACTTACGCATCCCTCTTATTTCTTATTTAACTGGTAATCTGTTTTTGAATAGGCTCAGTGTTTCCTTGTTCCAGGTGACAGAAGTCAGGCTGTTAAATAATTGGTCCATATATCCCAAAGCCTCTAAAGCAACCACGGAGACGTCCTCGCCCTGGATAAAAGAAAACAAGGTTTTAGGCGTTAGGGTGTCTCACAAAATACATGGGTAAAAATCCAATTTACCACTTTGAAATTGCAAGAAATCATATACTATAGTTTAGGCTATCAAAATCTTGATATATGATACTGAAGTGTATCCTACCTGTGTGTTCTTGTAAACATGCTCTGGAATCATGGGCTCGACTTTTCTTTTCGACACAGAGCTGGAAATTGTGCTATAATAAATACATTAAAATGTAGGCCTAATAATGAGATATATTGAGCATCAAATTGTGCACACCAAGTGGCAGACTGGTGCATAAACTGCGTCCACCTGCACGGATCGGATGCTGCTGTGTCTAGGCAGAACATAGTCAGACAGATGTGCAACCATTTCAATACAGCCATGTTTCTTTTGATAGAACTTGAGTCCAACAGACTTTAGAAATGATTAACAACCTATCATCTTGATTCGATATGATACCTACATTGCTGAAGTATACACCCAAGTATCGCTACATGAAGGTATACAAAAATAATTTGTGGTGAAGAAGGTAGCATGGTTCAGGCTTTCGCTTCCCTTTATAAGCACCAATTTTCAGTGGGTGATTCTTAATTATTCTATTGTGAAATTAATCAGAAAAATATAATGCAAGTTAACAATTTTCATACATGTGTATGCAAATAATTGCATTGGAGCAATTCTATTTATTGATAACATTAAGCAGTTATTCAGCAGGCAATATTGAATATGAAAAACGAATAACTCTATAATACAATGGTGCAGGGCTCTGTCTTATTAAATCAGGGCCATGATCAATATAAATATGCTGAAATTGTGGACATTAAACACCACACTTTTCAGATTCTGTGTAGGGTTAGCAAGAACCATTGTTTCAATAGGCGATTCACAGAGACCACATTTTGCTCACACATTTAGTCCGTTGACTCTCTTTTAATCAGACAGTGCAATCTGAAGCATATGGCTGTTCAGTGTTTATATTGCACATCCTTGAAATAAAAATAGATGTTATTAATAGAGAGACTGATAGTGTTGAATGAAGGCTAAAGTTCGACCATTTTACACCACTGCTTGTTAATTCAAAGTGCACCTGTTCAGTCTATTCGGCTAATATTGTTCCGATTTACGTTATTGATTGTGGAATCCAATTTCACTGAGGGGGTTGGAACCATTGTTATGTGAATTATTTAACAAACTATTTCAGTGTCTCTGTGCGTCTCCCAAAAGGTTGTAAGTCTTTTGGGATTTAAATAACGGACAGAGTCCCGATCTGCATAGTCAGAGATCTTTATTCATTGAGAATTCTGCCATCACAATTTCAGAGTCCATCTTTTATACTCATACGTCATACAAAAAATCATATTTTTCCACTATACACATCTTGTACGCACACACACAGCTCGGCTCAGCTCATGTTTTCCTCTGCTCTCCTGACCATCAGGGCACATACTGTTCTTATCTTTTCCCACTCCTTGCTCGGCCAGGTGCAGATATCGCATCCTCCCTAAATTGGGAGGCCCCTTTATCTTGGTTTAGACAGTTCTCCATTGTTGTCTGGTCTAAGTCTTACTCACATTGCTAAATAGTAGCTCAATGGTAGCTTACTAGTCCTACACTCACACATTTCTAACACATTATACACAATTTCAGGGTGTAATAATTAGTCATTAATAATTAATCTATCACCATATAATTAGGAATTCGAATAATTTAATAGGATCTCTATGGTAGGAACATAATTCGTATAGGAGCTCAAAGTACAACGTTCAAAAAAGGCCCACCCTGTCCAGTACTAAAACACACTTTATTGAAAAAAGGCTTTTGAATATAACTACATTTTGAGAAGATACATTTTACTTGTTTTTATGGCTTTCCTTTCTGTATTAGTAGGCTATGGAATTAATTGTACTGCCATCCGTGCATATGTCCCGAGCATGTTTAATCCAAAATATGAATGTTCACACACCGACAGACTTGGCTACAGAATGAGCACTCGGATTAACAATATTTAAAAGTATAAAAATGTTTATTAACTTAACATTTGATGACGATTAACATATAGGCACGATTTTCAAAGAGATAAATAAATAAATTCATAAATAGGCCTACATAAATAAATATCCTTGATAAATAAATAAATACATGTACAATATTGCAGTTTGACATTGCACATTACATGATTGTAGAATAGTAGGCTTTTAAAATCAAGCACAATTGTAAAACCCAATTGTAAAAAGTTCTGCAAGTTCAAATTCATGTTCTGTTGGACCACAGAAGGCTATCAGAGTTGTGTTTCAGAATGAACTGTAGGGTGTACAGGAGTTCTTTTCGAACCACTTCCCAGGCGCAGTAACTGAAATTCTGTGAAAATAAAAATAAACTGTTAGGGCAATGTAGGGTAATATTGTCCAATGTAGAGATATTATCAAAACAATGTGTCTTTTTGTTTTTACCCTATAGCCTACCTTTTCTTTTAGGACTGCTGCAATCTTCCCAAAGTATGTCTTCAGTCCCTCTGCCCTGATGGGATAATCACTTGTATCCACACTGCCCATCATCTGCCAGAAAGAAAGAGGTAGGCGATGAATAATAATTAAAATACCACAATTAAACAGTTAAGCTATCTGTGTTGGTATAGCAACTCACACATTTGCTCTCTTCAATCTGGCGGTATATAATATTCTGAAAATTCTCCAACTTCTGTTGGTCCCACTTAGTTGGCAGGTCGTCAGCTCCAAACAATGAGTCGATGTTCTTCAATGTATCATAAATAGCCTTAGCACCACTGCTGCTCAACTGAAACGGACAACAACAATAATTTCAAATAACATGAATGGCAGTTGTAAGTTTTCTACTTTCTAATCCTAACGGTTGCAAAAACTCTTTCATGTTGTAAAGAACACTTGGATATGCGCGCTTGCCCTTACCTGTGGCGTGCCGGAGGTTGCAAATGCGGCGGCTGGGAATGTCATGAAGACATTCTCCTGCAGGCACTCCAGATGAAAATGACCCCCCTGAAAGAAAGAGAAAACACAGTGTTCACGTTGAGCTATTCAGTTAAACATAGTTGGATAATACATCTCAAGTCAAAAGTAATTTAAAAAATGTACCATGTCTCTCAGTAGGTTGTGGGTTGTTCGCACCAGCTCTCCTTGTAGGTGGCAAGGCATGGGCATGGAGCAAACTTGTGCGAGGCAGAGGAAGGCGCTCATCCAAGTAATAGCCTGAAGTGCCATTCTTAGGGTAGTTAGATGACCTGCAACAGATGATCATTGTTAGTTGAATATAATCCTGAATATGATTCATTCATTGAAGCCTGAAGCAATGATCAAATGATAGCATGTTGTTGACTCACCTGTTGCCAGTATATTGCAAATTTACTCCAGTCAGAATGTGGTTTGTGTTCTGATCCCATATCTGCGGATTAACTTAAATAGTGAGGATTGAACGGATGTACAAAAAGTGAAAGGGAGTCTCACTAAATTAAGAGTTAAAATGAATGAATTTGGGAAAGTTTTGCCTGGTGAACCGCAAGACCGGATTTCCCTTTTCGTGTGCTCTACTTCCCTCTCGTCATGTTTTGAGTGATCGTTCATGGGAGGCACATTGTCCTCATTAGGTTTAAAAAATGGAACTCATAGCTGGCATTGTGAAGACTCAAACGTAGCTAAGAAAGACAGGGAGAAGGAGAGGGAGAGAATATCGACCCTTTAACACCAATATTAAACTAATGGCGCTTACTACAATGTTTGTTTTTTAATCACAAAACTGCTATTTGCTTGTTTGTCTCTCTCTCTCTCTGTGTGTGTGTGTGTGTGTGTGTGTGTTTGCGTGCGTGCGTGTGTTTGTTTGTTTGCGTGCGTGCGTGCGTGTGTATGTGTCTGTATTAGAGAGGGAGTGAGAGATGAGGATTTAATGTGATCTCTTTCTGTTTGTATCTTCTGTCTTTAATCCCATTCATGTCTATACATTTGAATTAAACTGTTGATAATAACTGATGATTAAATAGAAATTAACCGGCATTTTATGAAGTCTATCTGAATAATCAGGATACAATTAACATTTGACTATTTATTCCTTACGAGAGACTAGCAGGCCCATTTCTATAAATAAACCTATTTGCCAATGTGTTGTGATAACATTATCGTAGGTTTATTAGAAAATGACCTAAATCCTAATTCTTATAGAACTATATTTCATCGTCTTGAATATATTAAGTTAAAGGGGCAATTTCTGCGATTGCTACATTCAATTTTTGACTTTTAAATTAATGATACACAGGCTACCTATTGACTCTTGAAGAATATATAACTTTTAAATGTCTCATGAGCTTAGTTCAACTGTCTTACTTCAACAGAACCCAAAATATACTTTGTTTGAAACAATATAAATCAAAACAAACACAGTATAGCTTCAACATTTAGTTAAAACTATAATTTTGATCTCTTGGATGGTCATTACTTGAATCAATAGCTCTCTGACAGTGGTTACTTTTCTTGAACCCCTTCCGTCAGCTATTTACCAAAATAGTGGTTGAGTGTCCACTATGATGTTGTTTGAACTTCAAATTGCCACTTTAAAAAAGTAAGTCTAAAAACAAATGAATGCATGAAAGACTGAATGGATGAATGCATGGATGACTGAATATATAAATGAATTAATAAAAACAATATGATAATAGATGCATGTATTTTTCATTAATAAATAAATCAGTCAGTCAGTAACTATATCAGCCATCAATCTATTAGCCAGTCTCAGGAACATGTCACATGTCTCCAATGATGATTATGTGGTTGTCCAACAGACCGCTTCTTCCTCACGGCTTGACTCTGCAGTCGAGGGACTTTTTTAAAACTGCACAATTTTGTAGCGAACCTCCGCAGGTGCTGCACAAGCGCATCCGACGAAACTAAAACGGCGCTTGGAAGTTCCAAGTTTCATATGTGATTTGTGGTGATTAACTTTTCCTCGGATTAATTTAGCCTATTTTCCAGTGCATTTGATATTGGACCCACCTTCTGTTTCAAGACGGTGTTCAGCTTGTCTAAATATGTTTTCATAGACGCGTTGGCTGAAGTAACCAACCCTCCATCTCCAGAGGATACCTCAACACCACATCTGACCTGGAGACAAAATAAAATGGTGCTGAGTTAATTAATTATGTCTTAAGACAGGTTCTGAAAATATATAGTTTATATTAAACCACAAATTAAAGACCTATGCCAATTATTGTCTGCCCCCTAAATATAGCTTAGGCTACACCATGAGGGATCATACTAACGCATCCCTCTAATTTCTTAACTTCACTGGTAATCTGTTTTTGAACAGGTTCAGTGTTTCCTTGTTCCAGGTGACAGAAGTCGGGCTGTTAAATAATTGGTCCATATATCCCAAAGCCTCTAAAGCAACCACAGAGACGTCCTCGCCCTGGATAAAAGAAAACAAGGTTTTAGTCATTAGGGTGTCTCATAAATTACATGGTTAAACTTCCAATTTACCACTTTGAAATTGCAAGAAATCATATACTATAGTTTAGGCTATCAAAATCTTGATATATGATACTGAAGTGTATCCTACCTGTGTGTTCTTGTAAACATGCTCTGGAATCATGCGCTCGACTTTTCTTTTAGACACAGAGCTGGAAATTGTCCACCCCTGAAATAAAGTCATATCAATATAAATAAGTGAACTGTATTGGGATAGTAACCTTAAATGAAACATTGTGGTACAGAGAGTGATAGCATTGGTTAGATAAAATGTGCTATAATAAATACATTAAAATGTAGGCCTTATAATGAGATATATTGAGCATCAAATAGCGGACTGGTGCATGAACTGCGTCCACCTGCACGGATCGGATGCTGCTGTGTCTAGGCAGAACAGCCAGGCAGATACTCATCTATTTCAATACAGCTTTTGATAGAATTTAAGTGTAACAGACTTTCGAAACGATTAACAACCGATTATCTTAATCTTGATTCGATATGATAGCCAATTGCTGAAGTTGCCCATCTTATATAATAAACCCAAATATCGCTATACGTGAAAGTATAAAACACTCCTTTGGGGTGAAGAAGGCTGCATCGTTCAGGTTTTCGTTTCCCTTCATAAGCCCCACTTTTCAGTGGTTGATTCTTAATTATGCTATTGTGAAATTAATCCGATTTTTTGGGGGGTCCAGCAAGTTAACCGTTTTCATACATGTCTATGCAGAGAATTGCATTGGAGCAATGCATTTCATGAGAACAGAAAGCAGTTATTCAGCAGGCAATATTGAATACGAAAAACTAAAAAAAACGGTAGCCTATTTCTACAATGTTGCAGGGCTCTCTCTTAGCAAATGAGGGCCATGTTCAATATTGTGGACATTGCACACCACATTTTTCAAATTCTGTGTATGGTTAACCAGAATAATTTTGCTCACACATTGTCTGTTCTGACTCTCTTTTAATCAGGTAGTTAAATCTGAAGCAAGGATGTACAGTGTTAATATTGCACATCTTTGAAATGAAAACACATTTTATTAATAGAGTGACTGGTAGTGTTGAATGAAAGCTAAAGCCGTACCGCCTCTATAATCGAGAGTAGAGCGCAGTGGTATTGACTTTGCTGCCAGAATGCAGGGGAATTACTTTTCCTTTTCTCCCATGCGGTTCATTCTTATTAAATTGATTCGGTAAATTCCAAGGGATCTATTTACAGTTTGTTAATTTCTGTTTAATAAAAGAGTATATGCCCTAAATTTGCCTTTATTAGGCGCTTACCAAGACGACGACAATGATGAAGAGGATGTGTGAGTTTGGCCTAATGTGAATGATGATGATTATTATTTTTGAACACCTTGATTTAAGTAGGAAAGTCCCATTGAGATATAGAATCATAGAATGACGATGGTGATGATGGTTATGGTGATGATGAAGACGTTAATTGGAGATGTAGGTTTCTGATTATGCAGTTTTTATATTAAGCATTTATATTATGTCACTTTGTAGCAATGAACTGATCATGGTATTGATTGAGCAACATTGTATGCCTATCAACAAATGAATGATTATTTTCAAGCGTGAGATGAATTTCACTTTATTTGTGCAGTCAATGAATTACAAACGGGTTAAGTGGGTCAACATGTTTATTTTGGTAGCCTACAGTCAGTCGTGTTATTAAATAAACATATTACATCTGCTCATTTGTGGTGCATAGACTCGAGGAGAATCTGTAGGTCCTTCAATATCCTCACGATTTCATTTCGAACAACCTCCCAAGTACAATAACTGTTGTTCTAAATGTTGTCCTGAAGCGGCACAGGTCCTAATCCAGGCACTTGTCATCTCCCGTCTGGATTACTGCAACTCGCTGTTGGCTGGGCTCCCTGCCTGTGCCATTAAACCCCTACAACTCATCCAGAATGCCGCAGCCCGTCTGGTGTTCAACCTTCCCAAGTTCTCTCACGTCACCCCGCTCCTCCGCACACTCCACTGGCTTCCAGTTGAAGCTCGCATCTGTTACAAGACCATGGTGCTTGCCTATGGAGCTGTGAGGGGAACGGCACCTCCGTACCTTCAGGCTCTGATCAGTCCCTACACCCAAACGAGGGCATTGCGTTCATCCACCTCTGGCCTGCTGGCTCCCCTTCCTCTGCGGAAGCATAGTTCCCGCTCAGCCCAGTCAAAACGGTTCGCTGCTCTGGCACCCCAATGGTGGAAGAAGCTCCCTCACGACGCCAGGACAGCGGAGTCACTCACCACCTTCCGGAGACATTTGAAACCCCACCTCTTTAAGGAATACCTGGGATAGGATAAAGTAATCCTTCTACCCCCCCCCCCCCCCATTTACAACTGCGACCTGGCCAAGATAAAGCAAAGCAGTGCGATAAAAACAACAACACAGAGTTACATATGGGGTAAAACAAAACAAAGTCAAAAATACAACAGAAATACATATAATATACAGTGTGCAAATTTAGCAAGTTATGGAGGTAAGGCAATAAAATAGGCTATAGTGCAAAATAATTACAATTAGTATTAACACTGGAATGATAGATGTGCAAGAGATGATGTGCAAATAGAGATACTGGGGTACAAATGAGCAAAATAAATAACAATATAGGGATGAGGTAGTTGGGCGGGCTAATTTCAGATGGGCTGTGTACAGGTGCAGTGATCGGTAAGGTGCTCTGACAACTGATGCTTAAAGTTAGTGAGGGAGATAAGTGTCTCCAGCTTCAGAGATTTTTGCAATTTGTTCCAGTCATTGGCAGCAGAGAACTGGAAGGAATTGCGGCCAAAGGAGGTGTTGGCTTTGGGGATGACCAGTGAGATATACCCGCTGGAGCGCAGACTACGGGTGGGTGTTGCTATGGTGACCAATGAGCTAAGATAAGGCGGGGATTTGCCTAGCAGTGATTTATAGATGGCCTGGAGCCAGTGGGTTTGGCGACGAATATGTAGTGAGGACCAGCCAACAAGAGCGTACAGGTCACAGTGGTGGGTATTATATGGGGCTTTGGAGACAAAACGGATGGCACTGTGATAGACTACATCCAATTTGCTGAGTAGAGTGTTGGAGGCTATTTTGTAAATGACATCGCCGAAGTCAAGGATCGGTAGGATAGTCAGTTTTACGAGGGCATGTTTGGCAGCATGAGTGAAGGAGGCTTTGTTGCGAAATAGGAAACCGATTCTAGATTTAACTTTGGATTGGAGATTCTTAATGTGAGTCTGGAAGGAGAGTTTACAGTCTAACCAGACACCTAGATATTTGTAGTTGTCCACATACTCTAGGTCAGACCCGTCGAGAGTAGTGATTCTAGTCGGGTGGGCGGGTGCAAGCAGCGTTCGGTTGAAGAGCATGCATTTAGTTTTACTAGTGTTTAAGAGCAGTTGGAGGCTACTGAAGGAGTGTTGTATGGAATTGAAGCTCGTTTGGAGGTTTGTTAACACAGTGTCCAATGAAGGGCCAGATGTATACAAAATGGTGTCGTCTGCGTAGAGGTGGATCTGAGAGTCACCAGCAGCAAGAGCGACGTCATTGATATACACAGAGAAAAGAGTCGGCCCAAGAATTGAACCCTGTGGCACCCCCATAGAGACTGCCATAGGTCCAGACAACAGGCCCTCCGATTTGACACATTGAACTCTATCTGAGAAGTAGTTGGTGAACCAGGCGAGGCAGTCATTTGAGAAACCAAGGCTATTTAGTCTGCCAATAAGAATGCGGTGGTTGACAGAGTCGAAAGCCTTGGCCAGGTCAATGAAAACGGCTGCACAGTACTGTCTATTATCGATCGCGGTTATAATATCGTTTAGGACCTTGAGCGTGGCTGAAGTGCAAACATGACCAGCTCGGAAACCGGATTGCATAGCGGAGAAGGTACGGTGGGATTCGAAATGGTCGGTGATCTGTTTGTTGACTTGGCTTTCAAAAACGTTTGAAAGGCAGGGCAGGATGGATATGGGTCTGTAACAGTTTGGATCTAGAGTGTCACCCCCTTTGAAGAGGGGGATGACCGCGGCAGCTTTCCAATCTCTGGGGATCTCAGACGTTACGAAAGAGAGGTTGAACAGGCTAGTAATAGGGGTTGCGACAATTTCGGCGGCTAGTTTTAGAAAGAAAGGGTCCAGATTGTCTAGCCCAGATGATTTGTAGGGGTCCAGATTTTGCAGCTCTTTTAGAACATCAACTGTCTGGATTTGTGTGAAGGAGAAGCGGGGGGGGCATGGGCAAGTTGCAGCGGAGGGTGCAGAGCTGGTGGCCGGGATAGTGGTAGCCAGGTGGAAAGCATGGCCAGCCGTAGCAAAATGCTTGTTGAAATTCTCGATTATTGTAGATTTATCGGTGGTGATAGTGTTTCCTAGCCTCAGTGCAGTGGGCAGCTGGGAGGAAGTGCTCTTATTTTCCATGGACTTTACAGTGTCCCAAAACTTTTTGGAGTTAGTGCTACAGGATGCAAATTTCTGTTTGAAAAAGTTAGCCTTTGCTTTCCTAACTGCTTGTGTATATTGGTTCCTAACTTCCCTGAAAAGTTGCATATCGCGGGGGCTATTTGATGCTAATGCAGTACGCCACAGGATGTTTTTGTGCTGGCAGTCAAGTCTGAGGAGAACCAGGGGCTATATCTGTTCTTAGTTCTGTATTTTTTGAATGGGGCATGTCTATTTAAGATTGAGAGGAAATTACTTTTAAAGAACAACCAGGCATCCTCTACTGACGGAATGAGATCTATATCCATCCAGGATACCTGGGCCAGGTCAATTAGGAAGGCCTGCTCGCTGAAGTGTTTTTGGGAGCGTTTGACAGTGATGAGGGGTGGTCGTTTGACCGCGGACCCGTTACGGACGCAGGCAATAAGGCAGTGATCGCTGAGATCCTGGTTGAAGACAGCGGAGGTGTATTTAGAGGGTAAGTTAGTCAGGATGATATCTATGAGGGTACCCATGTTTACGGATTTAGGGTTGTACCTGGTAGGTTCGTTGATAATTTGTGTGAGATTGAGGGCATCTAGTTTAGATTGTAGGATGGCCGGGGTGTTAAGCATATCCCAATTTAGGTCACCAAGCAGTACGAACTCTGAGGATAGATGGGGGGCAATCAATTCACATATGGTGTCCAGGGCACAGCTGGGGGCTGAGGGGGGTCTGTAGCAAGCGGCAACAGTGAGAGATTTATTTCTGGAAAGGTGGATTTTTAGAAGTAGAAGCTCAAACTGTTTGGGCACAGACCTGGATAGTATGATAGAGCTCTGCAGGCTATCTCTACAGTAGATTGCAACTCCACCCCCTTTGGCAGTTCTATCTAGACGGAAAATGTTATAGTTGGGGATGGAAATTTCAGAATTTTTGGTGGCCTTCCTAAGCCAGGATTCAGACACTGCTAGAACATCAGGGTTGGCGGAGTGTGCTAACGCAGTGAATAACTCAAACTTAGGAAGGAGGCTTCTGATATTTATGTGCAGAAAACCAAGACATTTACGGTTACAGAAGTCAACAAATGATAGCTCCTGGGGAGTAGGAGTGATACTGGGGGCTGCAGGGCCTGGGTTAGCCTCTACATCACCAGAGGAACAGAGGAGGACTAGAATAAGGATACGACTAAAGGCTTTAAGAACTGGTCTTCTAGTGCGTTGGGTACATAGAATAAAGGGGGCAGTTCTCCGGGCGTTGTAGAAAAGATTCAGGGCATTATGTACAGAAAAGGATATGGAAGGATATGAGTACAGTTCAGGTAACCCTAAGCGTTGGGTAACAATGAAAGAGATAGCGTCATTGGAGGCATCGATTGAGCCGGTCTCGGCGTGTATGGGGGGAGGAACAAAGGAACTATATGAGGCAGTTTGAGAGGGACTAGGGGTTCTACAGTGAAATTGTATAATAAGAACTAACCCAAACAGCAATAGGCAAGGCATAATTGACATGGGAGAGAGGCATAAAGCAGGTGTTATTAGAGAGAGCTAAGACACAACTGGAAATAGCGATAACGTTTGGGCTAAGACTAAACAGAATAAACAGGACAGGGTACCGTGTAAAGGAACAGTCCAGCAGGCATCAGCTGTGCAGCTGAGTGATCATAAGGTCCAGTGAACAGCAATATGTGAGTCCGAGAGCAGTTCTAATTGGTGCTTCAGCACAGCTAGCAGGGAGCACAGTTGTAGTTTGCGTGTGCTAGCGGGCCGGGGCTGGCAGATGGATCTTCGTGGTCGTCGCAACGGGAAGCCTGTTGAAACCACATCAGACTATTTCATCGGCAAACCAGTCGTGTTGGATCGGCGGGGCTCAGTGTCAACACTAGGAGGTCCCGTCTATAGGGTGAATGCACCAATTTGTAAGTCGCTCTGGATAAGAGCGTCTGCTAAATGACGTAAATATAAATGTTCTAAAACGACAAAAACCCCACAGTAAATTGAAATGAGTAAATAGAAAAATTTAAAGTGATTCAAATAAAAATCATTCAATATAAGCTACTGTGTTATTTTTACCCTTTACTTTAAAAGTTGCTTCATTTTGCTGAAGTAGCGATTTGTAGAATGACATAGTTTCTCCATGAAAACGTGTCCAATGGTAGAATTCTCATCTGCATTTAACTGTGTGAAACGATTCAATGTAGTAAGTGGTATTGTCATATCAGGGAAGACATTTCAATTTGCAAGCAAAAAATCATACTCACGCATTCAGATAAATTGGTTGTCTGTCGGACATTTTTATTTGTAAAGTAATCCAGGTTATTTTTGTTCCATTACAGAGGCTGAAGAGGATTAGCAAATATTTTTCCCACTTGCCCTAAAATGATTCATGCAGTCAAAACCATCTCTCTCTGTTGGGAAAAATAAATGGATGTAAATCAATGTGCTATAAAACCATTCCATTCCAGGAGATTCTTTGGCCACTGTAAAGGTTACAGACTTAACCTAACTGTTGATAATGGGTGTCATCAAATATCAAATTCATGTTGAATTCGATGTTCACGTTCTCTTGCAAGCACTGCACCGGAAAACAACCACCCTAGGTATTTAAAACATGATATGGTCAGCCAAGATGCCAATTGTGCCCAGATTTAGAAATTAGGCTTCGTTTAATGTTCGGACACAATCATCAATGGTTTATGTCAGCCAACTCACCAAATATTGAAGAAGTTTGATGTTGTACTTATTTAGGATTTTGAGACGAGAAATGTGCATCCCATACCATATATATGCTAAATGAAACACTCCACCATGTCCAACTGTTTATCATGATGGTAGGCTACAACAACATTTCACAAAGTATTAGAAATACATCTGAGACAAGCATCAATATGTAGCCTATATAAACACCTCCCAAAAATTCCTGACAGCCAACCGAGAAGGGACAACTGATTAGCCTATAGTGTGATTCACCATAAACCTTATGATGAGACTGTGGAGAATGTTGATTATAGAAGTTAACCGGTGTACCGAAACCTTCACTTATAAAAGTCTATAAACATCAGAGATCACATCATTTGATTATCTACACTTGAAAAAATATACTTTACTCAACCCAAATAACATATGGTGATCTACTCCAGACAGGTTTATTTTGGGGGGGAACTTGTATTTATTGAGTTTACACATTGCATTCATGAACAGTTTCATGTGCCAAGTCATTGAATGTAGGGATGTAGCTCAGTTGGAAGAGCATGGCGTTTGCAACGCCAGGGTTGTGGGTTTGATTCCCACGGGGGGCCAGTATGAAAAAAGATAAATAATAATGTATGCACTCACTAACTGTAAATCGTTCTGGATAAGAGCGTCTGCTAAATGACTGTAAATGTAAATTGAATGTTATATACAGTTGAAGTCGGAAGTTTACATACACTTAGGTTGGAGTCATTAAAACTCATTTTTCAACCACTCCACACATTTCTTGTTAACAAACTATAGTTTTGGCAAGTCGGTTAGGAAATCTACTTTGTGCATGACACAAGTAATTTTTCCAACAATTGTTTACAGACAGATTATTTCACTTATAATTCACTGTATCACAATTCCAGTGGGTCAGAAATTTAAATACTCTAAGTTGACTGTGCCTTTAAACAGCTTGGAAAATTCCAGAAAATGATGTCATGGCTTTAGAAGCTTCTAATAGGCTAATTGACATCATTTGAGTCAATTGGAGGTGTACCTGTGGATGTATTTCAAGGCCTACCTTCAAACTCAGTGCCTCTTTGCTTGACATCATGGGAAAATCTAAAGAAATCAGCCAAGACCTCAGAAATCTTTTTTGTAGACCTCCACAAGTCTGGTTCATCCTTGGGAGCAATTTCCAAACGCCTGAAGGTACCACGTTCATCTGTACAAACAATAGTACGCAAGTATAAACACCATGGGACCACGCAGCCATCATACCGCTCAGGAAGGAGATGCGTTCTGTCTCCTAGAGATGAACATACTTTGTTGCGAAAAGTGCAAATCAATCCCAGAACAATAGCAAAGGACATTGTGAAGGTGCTGGAGGAAACTGGTACAAAAGTATCTATATCCACAATAAAACGAGTCCTATATCGACATAACCTGAAAGGCCGCTCAGCAAGGAAGAAGCCACTGCTCCAAAACCGCCATAGAAAAGCCAGACTGCGGTTTGCAACTGCACATGGGGACAAAGATCGTACTTTTTGGAGAAATGTCCTCTGGTCTGATGAAACAAAAATAGAACTGTTTGGCCATAATGACCATTGTTATGTTTGGAGGAAAAAGGTGAAGGCCTTCAAGCCTAAGAACACCATCCCAACCGTGAAGCACGGGGGTGGCAGCATCATGCAGTGGGGGTGCTTTGCTGCAGGAGGGACTGGTGCACTTCACAAAATAGATGGCATCATGAGGAAGGAAAATTATGTGGATATATTGAAGCAACATCTCAAGACATCAGTCAGGAAGTTAAAGCTTGGTCGCAAATGGGTCTTCCAAATGGACAATGACCCCAAGCATACTTCCAAAGTTGTGGCAAAATGGCTTAAGGACAACAAAGTCAAGGTATTGGAGTGGCCATCACAAAGCCTTGACCTCAATCCTATAGAAAATGTGTGGGCAGAACTGAAAAAGCGTGTGCGAGCAAGGAGGCCTACAAACCTGACTCAGTTACACCAGCTCTGTCAGGAGGAATGGGCCAAAATTCACCCAACTTATTGTGGGAAGCTTGTGGAAGGCTACCCGAAACGTTTGACCCGAGTTGAACAATTTAAAGGCAATGCTACCAAATACTAATTGAGTGTATGTAAACTTCTGACCCACTGGGAATGTGATGAAAGAAATAAAAGCTGAAATAAATCATTCTCTCTCCTATTATTCTGACATTTCACATTCTTAAAATAAAGTGGTGATCCTAACTGACCTAAGACAGGGAATTTTTACTAGGATTAAATGTCAGGAATTGTTAAAAACTGAGTTTAAATGTATTTGGCTTAGGTGTATGTAAACTTCCGACTTCATCTGTATTTCATTACAAAGACACAAATCGTATCTTTTGCCCTCAATGTGCTCTGTTCCGAGAATAACACAGACATTTTAAAAGGCAATTAGAGATCAACACCTTCATGTCAACAAACCCTGAGTTGGGCAAAAGTATGCGTAAATTATTTTGTCTATATTCTGTTTATTATAAGGCCCTGTCACCACCATTTCACAAGGTCAAATTCCTGTACTTCGCAAATAAAGGTGATTCTCATTCTTTCTGAAACACAACCTTCACATAGGCACTGTGGCTGTTCTACTGAATCTCACCGGTGCCCTCCACGGTCTCCTCTGCCATTCCGACGCCTCGACAGCTAAGGCCATGCTGTGGGAAGGTGACCTCCATGATGCAGCCGTACTTCAGGGTAATCTCCTGAGGGTCACCAGGTGTGGTGGATGACCTGCCGGCATTGTCACAGTTGGAGATGTCCTTCAGCTGTCCAGAGAAAGGAAGGTTTCACTATATTACATATTGTCGTTGTCTGATGAAAACGTTGTAACTTCATTTTTGCCAATTGTCATATATAAAAAAAACTTTTAATTTATTGAAAGCAGTAACTCCCCTCAATGTACTCTGAACATTTTATGACTCTAGGACCAAGAAAATATATTCAAAATAGCTTCTGAAGTTTCATAATTGTATGTTCTTTAACAGAAAAATATGGTCTTTTTTTAAAATTTTCGGAAAGGTTTCTGTTTCGGATTTATGAGGTTTTCATAATACAGCGACAGTATACGACATGGTCCATATTCTCTACAGCAGAAATGTATTGACTTCAAAATTTGGGACTGAAGATGTGTTACTTTAAAGTCTGACAACCTATCATCTGCTTGTGTTGTCAATCTTTTAAATGTCTTTATAAATACTTTAGGTCATTGCTCACACAAAGCTAACTAGTTATCGATTTCACATCGGCTGCACCCACCTAACCAAACAAATAATGTATCTGTTGTATCATACTGTAACATGCAGGCAAATATATTAGTATTGGAACATAAAAGAGACAAATCTGGGGGCATTGCTGCTCCTTACTGTAACAATGTGGGTGCTCCATCCATTAAATCCCAGGTAGTGATTGGCCAAGTCCTGGCACTTGCTATGGCTCAGTGGCTTGGAGTTGTGAAGGAAGTTTGGGTACTGCTTTGTGCTCAGCTTTAGCTGGAGAACAAACAGAGAATGTACAATCAGTTCTAAATGTCAATCATTAGAATGGTTATGACTTCATGGTGAACAGTGTTTTGGGCAGAAAGTGCAGCAAGAGGCAGGTCTACAAATCATCATGGAGTGGTAAGACATTGCCATCTACTGGTCAAGGTCTGGTATTAGTTATTGGTCAAGTGTTACTGTGAAGGTTCACAGCAGCTGTGAGAAAAAGACTACTCTTGGGGCCTCGAAGTTGTTTTAAAAGGGAAAAAGTGCTTGGTTGAAAATATATACACGTTTATGTCACATAAGCAATGATCTTACGAAATAATAAAATTATAATACAATCAATTTGGAGAGTATTTTGATATCTCTTTGGAATTGATGTTTGTAAATACATATGAGAACTGCAAGCACTAAATTGTACAATAGAGTACCACCGTACGAGTCATAATACACACAAAACATAGCGGTCAACAAGGAAATGGATCTAAATCATTTTTCCACCATAAATGTTTCCCATAAGGGATTTTAGAAACACTTAAAATAAGGGCTGTGTTTCGTGTAGGCTTACCCTGGTGGGACGATTTGATAACTGTGTAAATCTCTCTAGGACAAGGTGACTTTTATCAATATCTTCGCCTTTATTTAACCCTCAAAAATGAAACGCTAATTAGCTGCTCATGTGGCTATCATAAAGAACTACAAATGATCTGGACGAGACTGACGAATCAAGGCAAAGGTAAGAATCTCTGGATTTACTATCTAATGTTAGTTAAATGTAGTAATGAATAAATTGGCTAACTTTTTGTGCAAGTTTTAAATTGACACAATACCTGTTAGCATAGGTGGCAGCTGGCGATGATGTGCAGGAGCTTGCAGGGATTTGTAGGTTTGCATGATGTCTACTTAGATGCTAATTAGCATTTTCGAATCTGAGAGTAAATAGAGCCTAATATATTTATAAAAGTCACCTTGTCCAAAAGAGATTTAAATGGTTATCAAAACATCATGCCAAGGTAAGCCTACACGAAACACAGCCCTTATTTGAAGTGTTTCTAAAATCTCCTATGGGAAAAATTAATGGTGGAAAAACCATTGGAACCATTTTCCTGTTTGACCACTAGTTTTATGGGTATTATGACACCTCCACTGTGGGGCTCTATAGCCTGCAACATTTGAGTAAGTTTCTCTCTGAAAGTTCCCTTACCTTCAAAGGAGAGTTCTGGAAAAAGCCTCTTACGTGTGTGGCTCTCTGTGCTTTAGATGCCTGGGCTGCGGAGAAGTCCTTGACTAGGGCATAGAACCCTGGCTCGACCACGGCAGCATTGGGACACCTTCACCAGATACAGCGGTCCAAACTTACAGAAGATGTTCCAGATGGATTCCTTTAAAAGAACACAGTATAGAATTTCAATTCATGGCAGTGACAATCACTTATTAGCCTACTTTACAAAGGCTCGCCGGTAGGAGCATTGGGCCAGTATCAGAAAGGTTGCTGGATCGAATCCCCGAGCTGACAAGGTAAAAATCTGTAGTTATGCCCCTGAGCAAGGCAGTTTACCCACTGTTCCCCGGGCACCGATGACGTGAATGTCGATTAAATAAAAGCTTCTGAAAATGTGGGTTGAATATTCCAGACAAACAGTATTTTGTTATTTTCAATGGGTACCCTGAACTCTATTACGTCCACTATTACCTCCACTGACTAGAGCAACATTATTATTGTAGGCTACTACTCTGCTCCGCCAAGTGTTGCACGAAATGGTTTCAATGTTGGTGTCAATGTCCCCCTAGTCAAGTCTTTTCTGGAGGATATTATGAATCAATCTATCGCAGAATCTTTGACATGACGTTCATGTTTACGTTGACTTCCGCACAAGAGCCTCTGATTTCCCCGCGCTGAAAAAGTCATTCGTTACGCGGTAGATTTTCTTCTTCTATGGTATTATGATGATCCGCAAACACACGTTAGATGTGCATGCCGCCACCTATTGTATGGGGTGAAAACTGGGGAAATGTAATACAGCGAAAGAAAGGTTGAAAAAAACATACACATATTATTCTCAAAAGTTTTTACTAAAACAAACATCAATGTACTACTTCAGTCAGTTTCAAATGTCTACTCAGATCCCTACACAGGCTCTGGGGCCTGAGAGGGAGGAGTATCTTCCGACTGTATTCCCTGCAATGTTTCAGCCATGAAGTCCTGAAGATCCAATAACCTTTTTGCCGCTTTCACAATGATATCCAGTTTCTTCCATTTTTTATTAGTTTGTCCTGTACAATCAATAACCTGCACAATGAATGCAACAAAATCCACCTTCTTCACCATTAGATTTCAGGATATTTGATCTGATTAACAATGTCAACAGGCTGCTTTCTTGTCATCCACTGCCAAAGCATCATCATCTCTACTCTCTCCTTTTCACCGGCTCCACATAGGAGACCTGCTTGACAGCCCTAAGCCTCCCTACTTTGACCTCCTTCACCCTAACAGGGCACTCAAGGAACTCTGGAAAATGCTTCCCATCACAATTGCAGCATCGTGCATCCTCAGACTCTTCAACACTTATATTCCGTCTGCAAATACTTGATACGTGGCCAAACCTTTTACATGCATGACATTGCAGTGACTTTTGTACATACACTCGCACTGCATATCTCATATCCCAGCTTTACATGGGTCGGGAGAGACTCTTCATCGAACAGACAGGTTTCCCTCCTTCTTTCCATTCACAAAAAGGGTTAAGCATGTGCCCCAACTATTCCCGGCATGTTGTTGTTGTCCCTAAACCATGAAGCCTCGCTATCCAGCAAGATGACACCTTTCTTTGGTGCCCTACTCTGAAAAACACAACTCTCCACTTCGTACGTTGACAGTTTATAGATAGCCATAGAGCTTTCTCCTTTTGCTCTTTCGATACACATGAAATCACCATCATACTGCTCCTGGTCACTGACTCCACCTTTCTCAAATCGTCCTTCACCATCTTCGTAATAGCAAACAGGTCTCCCAAATAAACATCCTTATAATGGTATTCCAACCAGAAACTGCTGTTCATTTCCAGCTTTAGCTCCATTCTTCTATATTACCGTGGTCCAGTCATTCTTACCATCTTTACTCGCACCAACAGAATCAAACATTGCATCCGCTTCCGCCATTGCACAATCTGCCACGACCGGGCCAGATTAAAATTTGTCCATCCACCTTCCACATTCCTCCACTCCGGAAACCCTCATCCTTCTCGTCCTCTCGTTGTATCTATCTAGCGTCTCCATTCCGTGCAGTATTGTCCTCACTTGGCACAACCAACAACATCGTTCGATCGACCACCGAACAGTTGATATAGCTGTAAATGTCAATGATAAACAACAGTTTACTAATTGAAGAATTTGAGAAAGCTCTGACTTTACTCCTGCAGTAGATTTCCTGTACGCAGCAAGACCAATGAGCTCGAGCACCGGGTAGTGTTTACAGCTGTGTAACCAATGAAATTGCAAGTGCCGGGACACACCTTCATCTGGTTAAAGTTTGTTGGGGTCGCCAAAGGGTTTGGAGTCGCCCATGCTCGAAGACCAGAGAAAAGTAAAATAATCTAATCGTTTTAGCTCACCATTGAAGTCCCTTCACTAGAACCACAATCGATTCAATATATTCAGACAGGTTGGTAGGCTAATTGTCTGTTGGCAATAAGGTAAAATGTTCCTGAGGTAAAAATGATAATATTAGCATCACATTCTATTTCCCGCTCCCTGGCTTTGCAATTGGACTTGCTCGGGCCTTGTAGGGGAGCCTCGCGAAACTGCGGTACGCCACTGGTCATGGCATTGACATTAATGATGAATGCTAAATTATAACACAACTACTAGTACTGAAGGTAAATTCGTAGATTGAGTTATGGTGGGAGTTGATGTGAGATGGCGTGGTGCTTTTCTAAATCTAAGATTCGGGTACTACTAAGACAACTCACTTTCACTAAAATGTTCATTATACTTTAAGTATGGAAGTTGTTAGTCATGATGCAGCGATGCTATCCCTCTTTCACATCATCAGCGCGCAAAAATCCATTGCCAAATCCTGAAAGCTAGCTTCACGTACACTGTGTGTCACGAATGTTGAATAAAATTCCATTTGAACTTACTCTGACGATTGTCCGTGGGGTTGGTTTTTATACAGGGCAGAATTTGAGACAAAATATCTAAAGGAACATATCAATAAACATGTCTGCTGCATACCCTCTTCCTCTCTGTCAAAATAAAAGTCTGGCACAAGTTATCCCTTGCTTGCCGACATATGGCGCACTTGCAGGACTTTGTTTTGACGTGAAGTGTTTTGACATGTTAGGCATCTGCAGCAGACCCACGTTTGGAAAGTCTGTTCAGTAATATGTTCCTTTGGATATCTTTTCTCGAATTCCGCGCTATATAACAACCAACCCTACGGACAATCGGCAGAGAAAGTTCAAATTGAGCTTTATTCAACATTCAAGACAGACAGGGGACATATAGGTTTTTGCCAATACAAATGTACGTGACCATGGGCTGGATTCAATCCGTATCGCTGAAGAACCACGTAACATTTTTAAGGTAATTTCCTATTGAGGCGACATATGCAGCGTTTGCAGTGAATGCTGTCTCCGCAAATGCGGGAATATGGCCTTTACATTTCAATGGAGTGTCTGTGATACGGATTGAATCCAGCCCTAAATTGTCCAAGGGACACCATAGGAATGTTGGGGCTAGGAACTTGTCAAAAATGTTGATTTGAAAGATAATAAATAGTAGCCAAGATATCATGTACTGCAGAGAACAACAGCTTTATTGAACAACTCATCACTATTAGTTTCAAACAATAAGATTAAGGAATTAAAAGACTTAAAGGAAATTACTCTAAAATATATTCTCCATCTGTGTACATACCAAAAGCTTGGAGCTCTACAAGTTCCCATTTCACCCCAAATATTAATTTACGAATAAACATCAGCACCACCTAGAATCATATATCTAAATAAGAAATGTAATTAACTTTTCTATAAATGTACTAATCTAAAATGTCCATGAATCAATGGTATCTCAGAGTAATAGAGTGAATATAGAAAGTGCTGTTGTTGATTTCAGAGAACAAAATGCAAATGCCTGAAAACCCCTGGAGTCAGGCTCTGCCAGATCCAAATTAAATCTACTCTAGACCAAAAAGCATGCTTAATGGAGAATCTCAATTGAAAATGCTCTTCAGTGCAGGGCAAGGCCTACTCTGTATCTGGGAAACCAAACCCTGGAGACAGGCTCTTGCTGGCTGCCTCTCCAGCCAACGTCTACAGAGTGCAGTTGGCCTCCAGTGACTTCCTGCACTTGGCAACGGTCAGGTAGGTCTCGACCTTGGGGAAAAAAATAATGAGGTTATAGTTTACACATTTTAATGTCAATGTTCTAGGTCACTAGGCCTTTCTCGAGACCAGTCTTGATCAATGAACAATAATAGGAATAATATTTGGGTTATATTGAACACAAAAAAATGATGCACTGTAGAAAATATAGGAAGGCACATGCAATTGAAGGCAACATGGTTTTCCACCTTGTGCATGTCCTTCTTGAAACAGGCCAACAGCTCGTAGTTCCTCCTGACGTTGCCGTCGCCCCCCAGGTTCTGGTAGTAGTTTCCGTAGGGGGGCAGCTGCTGAAAGTCATTGTCATCCAGGCTCAGCACGCCATCCTGGCTCCCCTGTGGGAGACAGAGAGAGATGCATGGTGGAGTGGATGTGTGCATATCAATATTTGTTTATTGGGTCATTCTAAAAGCACACATAGCAAAAGACACATGCATAAATGTCCTTTAATGGTGTGTTACTGATATAGTCACTATTAGTGATGATAGATGAGGTGAGTTAGCATCACAATGTAAAGCACAGAAATATCTGCTGAGAAGAGGCATACGTAGTCCTACATTATGCTTTCTAACTAGGAAAGCATAGTGGTATTTCACTTTCATGTCAGTGGAAGATAAAAACCACACTGTAAACCCCAATGTGCTGTCATTACTCAAAACCTTTGAGGAAACCCGTTGCACTTAATATACAGAATCTGAGTGCAGTTACCTAAAGTGATTTTATAGTAATTACTCAAGCCTATAGAGTCACCCTGTAGAGGGTCCAAATTTGAGTTGTATCAGCTTGACATTTTTTTGTAATGCCCCGACTAAGCTACTTCTCCAATATATTTTCCCAGTGTGCCTTGGCTTTTTGAGTGAATTATAGAGTTATCACCCATGACTGTATTTGTTATTGACAGAGACATGGTTGTCATTCCTGTGGCCTTAAAGTGAGTTCCTAGGCAAATATTATCATTATAATTAAACTCTTTATAACAATACATTACATATCTCATAAGGCCTTATTTTGAGGCATAGCTTTACCCTAATACAGTGGCCCGAAACTCATGGTTTACAGGCCACATCAGGCCTGTAAGTAGGGTTGCAAAATTCTGGTAACTTGTATGTTATTTATCTTTGTGTAGCATAAGATTAATCAATCAATCCCTCAATGTACATGCAAAAACACAAATATTAAAAACCATTCCAAAAAATGTACCTGCCGTAGAGCATGCTGGGTAAAAAGTTAATTTGTTATCATAACTTTAAAAAATTGAGTTGATGTGACTTCTCATTTAGTTTTGAGCCAGTACCACATAAACATTTTAAGTAATGACTTTTCATTGACTTTGAGTTCAACTTACTAGAAGTATTTGAGTTAAAATGCCTTGGGGTTTACAGTGCACAAAGTGTGGCACCACAAATAGTCATTGTTCTCCCTCCTTGCTTTACCTTGATGAGCAGGTTGATGCCCACTTTGAGGTCGCCGAGCTTCTCAGAGATCTGGTTGGAGTTTCTGACCATTAGACTGTTGGAGATGGTCAGGGTCTGGCTAGGGTACTCCCATGATTCAATCAGGCGGAAAGAGATATGGAGCAGCTTCAGGACCTGTGTGTAGATGTAGAGAAACCCCAGATTATTAGAGAATTAAGTTGAGTTGTATTGTACAGTTTGAGATGCCCTGTTTACATGATTGAGCTAAATACTTTTTGGGCTGGTTTCCTGGGCAGAAAAGCACAAAATGGAGAATGGAGACGTAGAGAAATCATCGATTAGAGAGTGATGGTTTTACTAGCAATGATTGTGATATGTAGTTGTTTTACTTATCTTAGTTGAAGGCACTGAGGTGTAGCAACATTTTAATGCCAATTTTACGTGTAGAATTAAATACTCCTTGTCATGGCTAGATTTAATTTCCACCATGCATGATGCTGTCTCTGCTTATCTAAAGTATATATTTCCCCATGGAGTTTAGACAATCGGTGGTCTGCTTGCCCAATAACTAATGACTAAGTTGTATCGATTGTTCACATTGAGATGGCCTATTATTTATTTTGGAATCATGCATCATGGAGGAATTAATATTTAAGGTGAATAGCAGAGTGGAACTGTCAAGCTTTTACACTTTATATGGTTGTAAAGGGCATAACATGGGTAATTGGCTCAGCCAGGTAACTTACTGAACTCTTCTGAGTCTCGTGCTTGTCGATTGGGCTCACGATGGAGTCAGAGTTACAGAAGTCCAGCAGGAATATCTTGTTCAGCTGTCTGCGTTCATCAGGCAACAGGGTGCCTTCCTGCACACAATCACAAGAAGGGAGAGATATATTTTAGCCACTAGGCTTGTGTGAAGAGGACACTGTCTGCAAGAAGAAGAACAATCTTTGAAACACTATTTGCTATGTCAAAAGTAGATTCAAAAGCTGTCTTACAAAGTCATTGAACATTTTCTGAGCCATTAGGTGGAGATGTTGCACCCGGTTGACTGCGATGTTGAAGAGCCGTTGGTTTTCCATCGCTGCCCCTTGACTCAGAAAACCACTGACCAGTAAAACTGGCATCAGCAGAAACACTAAAAGAGAGATGAAAGAAAATAATAGCTGATTTAAGAAATGTATAAAACGAGTAAGTCTAATTATAGTGAGATATATTAGTAAGATATTCTCAGCCTTCGTACATCAATAGCCTAGCTGTTAAGAGCATTGGGCCAGTAACTGAAAGGTTACTGGTTTGAATCCCTGAGCTGACTAGATGAGAAATCTGTTGATGTGCCCTTGAGCAAGACACTTAACCCTAATTGCTCCTGTAAGTCACTCTGGATAAGAGTGTCTGCTAAATGACTAAAATGTAAATTTTATAGACCATCACATAGTTAGGTTGTTCAATCAAAAGAAAGTGGATCTGTGTCAATAGATTTTATAACCTCATGGCAGTACAATACTTGTTCACTCTTTCTGTGCCTTGTTGGCCCCTGTTTCAGTGATTAAATGTTTAAGTTCAATTGTACTTCCCACTGAAAAAAGAAATAGACAGAAAAAGCTGGCTTACCTTGTCCCATTTTTACTCTTAATAGCCAAGGATGATTTCTTAACTTGAAAGTGCGATGGTCGGTTGAGTATGTTGCCGTTTGTTTGGGGGCACTGTTTTTATAGATGGGAAACCCATGTTTTAATGTATCAACAGGCGGAAACATGAGATTTTCTCCTGTTACCACCTTTCATTGATAGGACCTGTTTTTGTATGTGATTGTGGAACAATCAGTATAATGCGTCAAATCAATCATTCATTTTTCCATGAGTTCGGGAAGACGTGATGTGTCCTAAAAACAACTTACTTGATGACTGAAAGAACTAGGGTCAAAACACATGCAACATAAACCTCTGTGGTCTAGGATGTATTAAATGAACACAAGTTACACACACACACACACACACACACACACACACACACTGTAACTTGACGACAACGCCAGTTATTCTGCCATTCCGTTGTGATACTGTAGATGACAGGAATTATTTGACAATAAATGATTTATATTGCTTCTTTATTAGCACCAATATTGTATTGTTTAATATCAATTGAATGTGCTGTGGCGTTAACACTTTTTCAAAGACTTCAAAGTAGAGACACTCAAAGAAGGACCTTTCAAGGACTTGAGACGCACATGTTAGAAAGTATTGTTTTTATTTGTTTAAATTCAGACGGGGTCTTGTTACCATTAACGTACAGTACATAAACAGTCACTTGATCAATACCAGTCCATGCCAGTATTTTTGTGAGAGCCTTTGTTATACCTGACGAAGATCCTTTCAGTAATAGAAACATTGTGAATAAGCCTAATAAAGGTATGTGTTGGAGCAAGTGTAGGCCCTACTTTATTGATTGATTGATTGATTGATTTTGGGGTTAAAATCTATATGCCGTTAAGAAAGTACACATCTCAGAGGATAACACATTCATTCTTTCAGCCTAGCAGCATGTGTGCTTGACTACACAATGCTACTAGCCCAAAGCCTTCACTTTGTTTGTGCCACACCACCTTACTGTGTGTTGTTTACGCTACACAGGTAGGTGTAGGTGTATGGTGTCATGACACCTATAAAGGTAACCTGGTCAATAGTCATGACAGTAATGAGATCATGGTTGATGTGTGGCGTACGGGGGTGTTGACTGATCCAGTGTGAACATATTCAACATAAGTTGTGAACGAGGTCCATATTCAGCGTTCAGGACACAGAGACGTGCTGAATGTCAGGCCCAGCGCTGTCCTAATCCTTTCCTGGCGAAAACAGAAATCGATCTGTTAACCTGCATCACTTTGGAAGGGTGGCTGCAAGTGCATTTACTGACCACATTACCTTGTTGAATATGTGGTAGCTGGCTTTCAAAAGAGCATTATACCAAGGTTAGTTTCGGTCACGCTATCTGATTGGATATAGGGATGACTTGTTTTGATAGTACAGCAAATTAAAAATACTGGATGTATAGCATATATCGATAAAGGTTTTATTCATTCAACCAACCTTTCATCATCTGGCCCCATTGTGGGATATGTATTGCCTGTAACAAATTGTCCGAAATCACTCCAAAAGTTAAGTTGTTGTTTAGGTTTAGTTATATACTGCATCACAGTGGTTCCTAAATTCTCTTTCCTTTATACCCTTATTGGCCCTTATGGAAATCCACATGAATTTCACGTGATATCGTGATCTTATGTGAAGTTAATGTGATAACATGTAAAGTAACATGTGATAACATGAAACTGCACATGTGAAAACATGTTATCACATGTGAAGTGTTCCAAAAACACATTATTTATTTTCCACATGTGAAATCAAGTGTTCTTTCTGTAAGGGCAGCCTCAACCAATTCTCTCCATCTGTTATCATACTCAATCGGCTGTATGGCCTCATACCCATTTATGTTTTAGCATGTTTCAATCGATCTGGATTAGCCAAATTACAAATGAACTGAAAATTATTCTTGAACATTATTATCAGGCTGTAGAAGAAAGATACTCTACATTCCAGAACATTTCCTGCATGGGTATTGGGTACTACTGTTTTGAGCAATACACACATTATTGATGTAAGTCTATAACACAACCTGTAGGGAAGTGTAATACCCTACAGCTGCATCGGGGTTCCCTTGGCTTAAACCTGACAAATTCTTTGAACAAGTGTGTCATGACTGAGTGTGTGAGGGTCATGTTAAATGAGTGTGTGAGGTTCATGTTAAATGAGTGTGTGCCCCTTTAAGAGCGCACAAGATTAATAGGCTAAGGGAGAGCGAACTGGAGGGAGAAAGAGAACATACAATGAAAGAGTATAGGACAGAATGTAAATAAAAGAGGCCAGGGTTCACGTATTCCTCACAATGGATTCCCCTTTTATTACTGAGGACAGCTACACAGAGTGCAGTATGTCCATGTAGAGCAGCATGTGCCTATGGGGTTGTCACAGCTCACAGGTTTGATGTGGTTGTATCTCACTCCAACTCTGCCTGGGCCTCTGTGCCACATCACACTGACCTTATAGGTAGGAAGTGTAATGGTGCACTATAATACCTCTCTGTGAAATGAAATTATGTTGAACCAACGTGGACTAGATGTTGAATTGACGTCTGTGCCCACTGGTTTGTCTTGTTACACTTACCTAGATATAGGGCGTGGATTCACATCAAGGGGATAGAGGTGAGCTACCTCTACACTGTTTTAAGGAATGAAACTGCAGCCAGGTGCCAGTGGGTGATTATATCACTCAGTTCAGCCTCAGCTGCTCAATACCGATGAAATGGCAAATGGCATCTCCCCAGGCGAGGTACACGACCCACCTCCACTCTGTGTCAAACAAGCCTGAGACCCTGAAGCAATCAAAGGTGATATGCACATCTGAAACTTGAACCTGAAACACTGACATTGACTTGGAGCGGAAAAGCCCATGGCCCCCCTAGCAAACACCAGCGCTCCCCCACCCTCCCATCCCCTGGCAAAGAGTGATCCTCCCTGGCCCCTGGAGTCTCCCAGTGTTTGGTCCCAGGCCAAGATGTCTTCATGCCTTCTATGTCAGAGACTATAGTAGGAGCTACATGAAGGAATAGCACAAGCAATGGTCAACATTTGAGATTTGTCCTAATGGAAAATTGTGCAACATTTTCCCTTACTTTAGATCTTGTCGTTCACAGATTGTATCTTCCTCCCTTGACCATTCATGTTGACATTTTGTCATTTCCATTGTGCAGAATACTGTTTTAACTTGCAGTGGCTCAATATGTTTCTTTTTCTAGAAGATGTGTTGAGTGTGTGTCAGGAGAGAAGTGTCTCTGAGAACGTTATCACCAAGTTAACCTATCAGAGGTTTCTTCGGTTTGATAGGACTTGCAGTTCTATCATTGGCCCCCAGGTGGCAATTTAGTAAACAGAGAGAGAGAGAGAGAGAGAGAGAGAGAGAGGTGCATGGTCAGCGGGGCAGGGTTTTACCTTGTGAATACTCTTATGTAAATCAAATGTCAGCTCATATTGATTTGCAGTTTCTGTTCTTGACATGTTGAGTTGTGAAGTATTTGGATACACTACATGGCCATCTCATTCCAAAATCATGGGCATTAATATGGAGTTGGTCCGCCTTTTGCTGCTATAACAGCCTCCACTCTTCTGGGAAGGCTTTCCACTAGATGTTGGAACATTGCTGCGGGGACTTGCTTCCATTCAGCCAGAAAAGCATTAGTGAGGTCGGGCACTGATGTTGGCCGATTAGGCCGGGCTCGCAGTCGGCGTTCCAATTCATCCCAAAGGTGTTCGATGGGGTTGAGGTTAGGGTTCTATGCAGGCCAGTCAAGTTCTTCCACACCGATCTCGACAAACCATTTCTGTATGGACCTCGCTTTGTGCACAGGGGCATTGTCATGCTAAAACAGGAAAGGGCCTTCCCCAAACTGTTGCCACAAATGACCTCCGACGAACCATCAAACAGGCAAAGAGTCAATACAGGTCTAAGATTGAATCATACTACACTGGCTCTGACGCTTGTCGGATGTGGCAGGGCTTGAAAACTATTACAGACTACAAAGGGAAGCACAGCCGCGAGCTGCCCAGTGACACAAGCCTACCAGACGAGCTAAACCACTTCTATGCTCGCTTCGAGGCAAGCAACACTGAAGCATGCACGAGAGCACCAGCTGTTCCGGACGACTATGTGATCACGCTCTCCGTAGCCGATGTGAGTAAGACTTTTAAGCAGGTCAACATTCACAAGGCCGCAGGGCCAGACGGATTACCAGGACGTGTACTCCGAGCATGTGCTGACCAACTAGCAAGTGTCTTCACTGACATTTTCAACATGTCCCTGACTGAGTCTGTAATACCAACATGTTTCAAGCAGACCACCATAGTCCCCGTGCCCAAGAACTCTAAGATAACCTGCCTAAATGACTACCGACCCGTAGCACTGACGTCTGTAGCCATGAAGTGCTTTGAAAGACTGGTCATGGCTCACATCAACAGCATAATCCCAGAAACCCTAGACCCACTCCAATTTGCATACCGCCCCAACAGATCCACAGATGATGCAATCTCTATCGCACTCCACACTGCCCTTTCCCACCTGGACAAGAGGAACACCTACGTGAGAATGCTATTCATTGACTACAGCTCAGCATTCAACACCATAGTGCCCTCTAAGCTCATCACTAAGCTAAGGATCCTGGGACTAAACACCTCCCTCTGCAACTGGATCCTGGACTTCCTGACGGGCCGCCCCCAGGTGGTAAGGGTAGGTAACAACACATCTGCCACACTGATCCTCAACACGGGGGCCCCTCAGGGGTGCGTGCTCAGTCCCCTCCTGTACTCTCTGTTCACCCATGACTGCATGGCCAGGCACGACTCCAACACCATCATTAAGTTTGCCGACGACACAACAGTGGTAGGCCTGATCACCGACAACGATGAGACAGCCTATAGGGAGGAGGTCAGAGATCTGGCCGTGTGGTGCCAGGACAACAACCTCTCCCTCAACGTGACCAAGACAAAGGAGATGATTGTGGACTACAGGAAAAAAAAGAGGACTGAGCACGCCCCCATTCTCATCGACGGGGCTGTAGTGGAACAGGTTGAGAGCTTCAAGTTCCTTGGATGTCCACATCACCAACGAACTATCATGGTCCAAACACACCAAGACAGTCGTGAAGAGGGCA